TTAAATGCGTGAAATAGGGCAAACTAATATTGGCAATTACGTTTTCCCCCCCAAATTATATTTGTCCTGCGGTATACTTAGAGAAGAAATAATAATACAGTCAACGCAGTCAAAATTGGCAATATACGTTCCGTCTGGTTCCGAAAAGTTTTATGCAATATATTTTGGAACTGCATTACACCAGCCGGTTGATGTATTCATGAATCTGACCTAGGGCTGACGGACACTTCCAGTTACCATTTACCAACGTCGGCGTTGTACACCTGTTTAGTCAGTCACTGTTCGCTGACCTAATGGCTGCAAACATCATGTCATGTTCTGATGCTGTTTACACGCAAGCAGGTATTTTATCAACATGAGGTGCAGAACGATAAACATGTGCTCTCCATGCTTTCAGACGAAAGCGAGCAAAGAACAGTAAAAAAACAAGACGAAAGCGAGCAAAGAACAGTAAAAAACACGACAACTTCAGTTGCAACGCAGCGATTCCTCACCATTAAACATTTTTTGGGCTGCCACAACATTACGGGCTAATGTGTGCAGAAAGTTTCCCGCAAACACAGGTCTACCGTCCGTAATACACTTACGGATGTCCCGTATACATCCCATAGTTGTGTAAAGTGGATGTGAGTTCCGCTGCATTCAATACAATACACTGAGTGGCGAAGATAATATGTCTTCGAACATGACCCTATCCATCTCCATTTCTTTTTCGGTACCTCCTATACAACGTTTTTGGTGTTCTGTGGGTGCGTATTCAACTGCGTTTAAACGACTCCATTTCCAAGTTTCTCAGAAAGGTTTTTGAGCAACTCTACTGGTTCATGACCCCACTCTACGATACTTGACGAAAATATTGCTCCAAAAGCCCAAATTCAAATCTTTGGATGCCATATCAGTGATATCTGTCGATTCCACGGCGTGTGGTATTGACAAGGCCAAACTCAAACAAACCGCCAACCAGGTTAGTCCTCAAGAAGGTCTATCAACCCACACAAACAATTCTATGCATTAAGCATTCAAATTCTTTAGGCAATATCGCTCAGCTTGGCAGAAAAAATATCCATTTACTCTTCCGTCAGTCGCTCGACGATGGCCCCATTTATCGTACATGAAATAAAGTAACTGCATTGCCAAAGGTCTTGTGATTACTTACCGCTCGCCCCAGGGAGAATGCAAAAGACGCCAGCTTTCTACAGACACATTAAATCAGGTCATTCCGATTCGAACTTCAGCCATCCCCAGAGAAGCAGGTGTGCTTCCGAATCTTTTCTTTTGTGTAACACACAATTCTGTGAATAGCTTCATAAGATCCAAAAACAAAGAAGGCCACGATTTGTTTTTTTTCTAATGCTTCCAACCAGGCATCGCAAGTTTCGCTGGTCCACAAGCGTCAGACCAATTACAACCAAACATAATTCCTGCGTTACTATAGGGCTTTCGTATCAAACGACACATTCCTGTTGTGAGACAAATAAATTTACCCTTCCTCTGAACCGACCTCTGTTGGGGCTATATATTGTTCAAGGATCTCCTCACCTTGAACGATTTCTTGCTGGGTTATGATGTCCACTTTCGCTCAGCAACCTGCTACAGAGACGGTCATGGGGTTCATATACTCCTATTAAGGCAAATCAAGTTGCCTGATCTCATTCTTCTGGGCAGGGTGTTTGCCATGGAACAAACTAATACACGGTGAGCACATAGTAGAAAAACAAATTTGACTGCCCCGGTTTTCGTCAGCTCGGGTGCTTATCATGTGGAAGAACAATTTTAATCACGTTGCCTCGGCGGGTGTGTGTGATGCGTCTTAACATGTAAAAAGCTTACTGTTTAAAGAAGAACGCCGCAACTTTGCCACACTTGTGCATTTCGGGCGGAAGAATGGTGCCGAACAACATCCCTGATAAGGCAATCTTGAACGAAATCCCACTGCCTTGTATTACAACCCGAATACCTGAATTCGGAAAATATTAAAAGTGTGGGCTCTTCTATCCAAGATGGATTCGGAAGCTAGGTGATCAGTAAAGCGTATTTTTAACACTCTTATCGCAGCCGTCTAATTTTATCTCCGCCAGACTGCTACGACTGCACCCTAGTGGCTAATTATGTCACATAGATGTAAGAGTGCTTTATATTAATGAATGGTACAAGTATTGAGCTTAGAATTTTTACCTGATACAGAATCTGGTGGGAGGGCAATAATCACTTGCGGTGTTATTGGCAGTTTTGTCAACTTTGCTCATTGGTGGCCGTTGGCATGTACGCTGAGCTGGGCAATTTGATTGCAAACGTTTCGTCACCAATCGAGGTAACATCATCAGTGCGTTGTTGTGGAGCGTAGTAGTGCGTAGCGGTGGGCTGGTGGTTGTGCACAAATTCGGAACGTCCACTAAATAGTGTAGCCTGGTCGTTGGCTTGTTCGTTGGGCTGATGTCACCAATCGAGGTGACGTCATCAGTGCATTATTATGGAGAGTAATTGTGCGTAGGGGTGGGTTGGTGCTTGTGCAGCAGATAGTCATTTTGGCGTGCAGTTATAACATCCAGAAAACTGATATGTCATTTTATTTACTCAACGTACCAAATCAACACACGCTCAAAATCCGCCTGTGCGCGACGGACGTATTCGAGGATACTACTAAGGCATCCGAAACATATTATGTCGGTGTTTTACAACACTAGTCTCCCCGTAATATTGATTATTGCGTAAGTGATAATGACAATGTTTAAACTGCCTTGAACGCAAACCGTGCAAGAAAACATTTTACTGAATATTTGTTAACAACTCCAACGAAGTACAGCACTTTCATTTCATTCTTCTTAAAAGAAACTTGATTTGGTTTACTGAAAAGTAACTGAGACTGACAAATAGATATTTTCTGGCAAGACGCACGGCACTAAATTAAGCAAACTTTTCGCAGTCCATGCGGTTTATGTTAGAACGTGAAATAATCAGATAGTGCTTTTGGGAGAGTCAGTTGGTGGTTGTCACTTTTGAGATCATAAGAAACGCTGAATTCTAAATGACTACTGAGTAAACGCTCAAAATCTGTGAGTGTGTTTCAAAGATGAAAGCTGAGAGCGAATAATGACAGCAATTCCTAAGGAATTCACGGGGAAACTGGTGGAGCTGCTCGACCTGAAGCAGAAATCATTACCGCACACATGTTGGAGGAATCAGCTAAAAGTTTTGGTCCATGAAATCATCATGGCCAATCGACGTGTGATCTTTTTCCGGCTAATTCCAAAAAGGAAATAGACGTAGTGTCACGTATACATCCTGAAACTAGTGAACTGATTAAAGTTCTGGTCAATAGCGAGAATATTGAATGTGGCAACCACAAACACATGTCGACTGCATTTGTTCTGTGGTTAATTTACTGCCATTAGTAGAAACGATCAGAGTTATCAGTTTGACGCTGAACACTAGACAGCGAAGGTTAAATGCTAGTCGTTCATATTCTCAACATAAAGAACCACATGTAATATTGATTATTGCGTAAGTGATAATGACAATGTTTAAACTGCCTTGAACGCAAACCGTGCAAGAAAACATTTTACTGAATATTTGTTAACAACTCCAACGAAGTACAGCACTTTCATTTCATTCTTCTTAAAAGAAACTTGATTTGGTTTACTGAAAAGTAACTGAGACTGACAAATAGATATTTTCTGGCAAGACGCATGGCACTAAATTAAGCAAACTTTTCGCAGTCCATGCGGTTTATGTTAGAACGTGAAATAATCAGATAGTGCTTTTGGGAGAGTCAGTTGGTGGTTGTCACTTTTGAGATCATAAGAAACGCTGAATTCTAAATGACTACTGAGTAAACGCTCAAAATCTGTGAGTGTGTTTCAAAGATGAAAGCTGAGAGCGAATAATGACAGCAATTCCTAAGGAATTCACGGGGAAACTGGTGGAGCTGCTCGACCTGAAGCAGAAATCATTACCGCACACATGTTGGAGGACAAGTGACCCGCGAATGTTTCCGCAAAATCTCATGAAACCGTCGCCGGTCAGATGCGTGCGCTATATTAAATGCGAAATTCAAGAGTGTCAGTATTGTTACAGAAGTGCAAACTGTGGATTAGGTAATTGTCAAAATATACAATAATAACTGAAAATAATGCATTTTTATCTTAACAGTAAAGTTAACCACATAGAGTTGCAGCGGTAAACTCCCAGCGAGAATCCACAGGCGATAAGCCAAGTTAAAAATTATGTATGAAATGGGAAATTCACGATTTGCGTTTTGTAAAATGTGAATAGGTTGCTTTGATCACAGAAATGCAGGATGCAGCCCCGGACACTCCTAAAATTCTCCCAAAGACATGATCTAATAGGTAAAATGAGCTTAGGCTGCAAACAAGACTGATGAAATTTGTGAAAAAATGTAGCACAAATTTATTGCTGGCACCCTGGAAAATTTATTGAAGAATACGTAGCAAGTGAAAATAGTATAAACACGATAATTCGTTCTACCAACTATTTAGGCCTGTTATTTCTTTGGCGTGCTTGAAATCCGAAAATTGCTGGAAAATATCCGATAACTCCTCATCATTCGCGATGAATATTTCACGATGAGGGAGGGAGTTAATTATGCACGCCAAACATATATACATATATATCGTTTATTCCGTACTTATCTCGAACCCAGTAATTTATGGTGGGGCCACCCAAATAATTGGTGATTTCAAAGATGAAGAGTCTTCCGACAAAACAGCTGATTTCAGAAATCGCAAAAATATTCGCTTAGTGATTACGCATTAAACGGCCCTTTCAGCGTCGAAGGCTGCGACTGTGTCATTTGAACCGCCGGATGGTAGGCTATATGTTGGCAGCAAAGATGTTATCACGTGCGTTGTGAAGGACAACCCGACACAGGATAATCCGGGAACATTCGCTCTAACAGCGGACCCTGACAATCCAAGTCTGCTGTCCCTGGACAACAAAAAAGCTCAAATCAAGCCACCCGCTGATTCTGGCGTATATACGACTGCGGGAAATACCTCGGTGACGTGTCGGTGGACCGGAGCTCCAGACGCATTAGTCTTATTAGGATGTGAACCACTGCATTTGTTGAATGAGAATGCACGCTAGGCCTCTATGGTTGCTGGAGAACTGATGTTGGAATTATGTTTCATGAACAAGGCCTCAATTACATCGGATTGGTTTGTTACGCATCCACAAAAGTTATCACATTCGTCTGCCTAGTAAGGCAGGCCAGCTAAGCCATGTGCCCCTGGGGACGATTACTGGAGTGGCTTATGCATAGAGACGGTTGTTCTGGAGCCACTTCCGGAAGCCAACTTGGTTTGTCGTTTATACGGGGCTAAATTTGCCGGGTTCCACATCTCAGCACACGTATAATGCAAATAAAAGGAGCATATACCAAAATGTGTAGCAATTACGCTTAATTTAAATCAGTCTGTTATATTACGCATAATTATTGGTAAGTTTCTTTCGCGCAATGTTTTGCTCAGTTGAGATGGTGTGGATAGTCACATTAGTATTTTGCTGTTTTGCTGATGTACCTCACAAGTGAAGAATGATGCGCGACGTCTACTGTCTCATGTGGGCCTTGAAATAATTGCATCTGGTTGAGCTGTTCATACTTCCGTAAAGCAAGTGAGTATCAGTTTCTGACAATTTCTACACACCCCTGCTGTGCAGTAATATAGAAAATAAAATATTGCTAATCTCATTTAGTAAAAAACGAATAATGATAACCATCATGTGGTCCTGATGTTGACAACACCTGACAAAAGTTACCAGAAAAACAACTCAGCAAAATGCACTGGCGCGGGTACCATTGGGTACGCGTTAGATGTTGTTTAAGTGTGAGGCGTATAAAGGCCAATAGTCCCTAAAGTGGATACTAGTTGTGGTGATAAAATGAGAAAACTGACTTCCTCTGCGCTGGTCAAAATTTGCTGCCTGGTCTTGGGTATGTACATTTTCTGGCAAGAGTAATTATATAAATCCGTGAAAAGTCAACTGGATGTTTTTGGTGCCCATGTGATTTTTCGCATAATTTTTCGCAACCTGAACTAATAGCGAAGCGTCCTGAAACACACTGCAATACATATCGCAATACATTAAAAAAGCACACAACACATATTCATTAACCTATGGTGGAAAAAATCCATTTTCAGCAGTTTTATGCAGGAAATTTTAAAAACTATTGCTTTGTTGACCCTAGAAGCTAAAATAAAAGATGACCTAAGTGTTCGTCGGTCATTTTTTGATTGCTTGTTCCTGTGTGGAAGAGTGTGAAGAAATGATTAGTAAGCATTTATCAACTTTAAGTACCACTTATAGCGCATCAGTTATGCACAAAGTTCAAAAATTGGAATAATACCCACATTTGTATCATTTGATATGTAGGATTAATAAGCAAACACGGATGTCACTCTATGTTCCTCTTCCTTCACATTCAGCTTTCTTGTGCGGGTTTGAAGTCCTCGAAGATGGTGAATCATTTGTGAACAGTTGTTCTCATACGTATACCCAGAGCTGCTGAATATCACTTTGTATAAACCGGCTTTAGGCTTTTCAACCTGGAAACGTTTTAGATACAAATGCGTAATAAATGATATTAGAATGTGGTTGGTTTAGTTACAGCTAACTACGGACTATGGTGGGTATCTCAGGTGCAGACAGCTGCGATTGTAATGTCAAGCAGCTTGTGAAAAACTGGAGCCCACCGTGCAAGAAAACGTTATTTAGCCACTGATATCTAGTTGACGCTTAGTTTGGTGATAGTGACCATTCAATCTTTACAAGGGCCTGTTGAAGGAGAAGTATTGAAGCAAAGTTTATCGCAATTAGTTTCAATAAATTTCACTAAGTTAAATGTATGCTTCAAGCGTACAAAATTGACGATTTGGTCGTCATAATCTATTTACAATGCTAAACTCTGAGCAGATGGTTATAAACGTGTAAGTCTAAAATCTGCGCCCATTTAGACCGCTGTCTTTGTGGGATTCGCAGGTTCATCATTTTTGGATTATTTGTTCGAGTATTCTTGGTTTGAATCAGATATCCCAGTGCTTACTCTTTCCACATATTTCTCAGATTTCTGCCTCAAGGCTACCAGTAGTTTCCAACAGCAGCCCCAATTAAACATTGCCTGAAGGTGTGAATTTGTCGTTGTGGATCTCTGAGGAACTCAAAGTCGTACATATATAATTAAATCGCGCTCATGTACGAAGTTGGACATTTGGTTTGTTTTAATTTATTGTGCTTTTCCAAAAATAATTGTATACTTATATGGTAAATTGGATGATATCTCTGCAACACCTAAGCCCAAAACGAGATGGTATTACGAGCAGTTGAACTACAGTACAGTCAAAATCAGCTAACAGTTTTGGTCCATGAAATCATCATGGCCAATCGACGTGTGATCTTTTTCTGGCTAATTCCAAAAGGGAAATAGACGTAGTGTCACATACACATCCTGAAACTAGTGAAATGAATAAAGTTCTGGTCAATAGCGAGAATATTGAATGTGGCAACCACAAACACATGTCGACTGCATTTGTTCTGTGGTTAATTTACTGCCATTAGTAGAAACGATCAGAGTTATCAGTTTGACGCTGAACACTAGACAGCGAAGGTTAAATGCTAGTCGTTCATATTCTCAACATAAAGAACCACATTGTGCACTGACCGATGTTCTACGCCTTTGTTTGTTATAAGGGTATCTGGAGTGTATGCTTGACGGTTTGGGAGTTTGTGAACAAACTGCCTTTGGTTCTGGAGGGAAAACGTGCTCCGAGTATACGTATAAGCTTTATCTATGCACACATGGAAAAATGAGGTGTAAAGTTTGAACGAATTCGTAGAGCAAACAAGCAAGAACAAACAAGCACCAGTTGAACTCGCGCAGATCTTCAAGCGATAGGCTTAGCGACACCGTCTCAGAACCTATGGGCCACCAGTTTCATATTCATTACGTGTGTCTTGATGAGCTCACACAATGTATTTGGACATGTGTCAGACAATGTATAATTTATGGTGGGGCCACCCAAATAATTGGTGATTTCAAAGATGAAAAGTCTTCCGACAAAACAGCTGATTTCAGAAATCGCAAAAATGTTCGCTTGGTGATTACGCATTAAACGGCCCTTTCAGCGTCGAAGGCTGCGACTGTGTCATTTGAACCGCCGGATGGTAGGCTATATGTTGGCAGCAAAGATGTTATCACGTGCGTTGTGAAGGACAACCCGACACAGGATAATCCGGGAACATTCGCTCTAACAGCGGACCCTGACAATCCAAGTCTGCTGTCCCTGGACAACACAAAAGCTCAAATCAAGCCGCCCGCTGATTCTGGCGTATATACGACTGCGGGAAATACCTCGGTGACGTGTCGGTGGACCGGAGCTCCAGACGCATCGGCGGAGAACACACTGAGGGTCGAGGTTTTGCGTGAGTTGCGCTATGTTTCATTCAGCCTGTAGCCAAAGCTATTTAACACTTTATAAATCATGCCTTTTTATCGAATGCTAAACGAATTGCGAAACGGAATCATTGAGATTATTTTTTAGCTCAGCAGTATTTAGCACGAAATGTTCACAACGTACACCCTCCGCCAAGTGTAAGGAGGTCGCGGCGGTGCTAATTTTTGCACACAGTGCTGCATGCAATAGTGACTCTGTAATGTTAACAGCGCACGTTAGCCAGTGATTCCGGAGGGATTCTTTCACTTGCCTCTGCGCTCACATGGTCATTTAAAATTCGTTTTTTAGGACGAAGGCACAAGTTGAACTACGCACGACAACTTCGTGATGTACTACAAAGATGTCGGATCTTTGTATGTAAAAGAAATTAGAACATACTGTTCGATCTGCACTGAGTGCTGTAAAGTACATCTGGCTAACGGAGAAGAATCCGTGATAAGTTATGGGGAGGCATACATAGCAATAGTAACTATTTGGGGCTTGCGAAATTTTCTCTAGTACACGCAAGTATCTAAAAGGGAAAAACTGCCCCCTATATTCTTCAACTGATTTTTATGCGCTGCACTAAATGTTACTAGAAGTTACTTAAGTGAAATGTATTCCTTTCAAGAAGGCTGAATTCAAACACATAACACAGCACATCTATTTCCATAACATCTTTCCATTTTGAATACCATCCCACGCACATTCTTATAGTAAAGGCGTGGTTGCTTATCTCTTAGTTTAGTTTGTAAAGGTAGAAATATTCATGAGCCTGCCGAAGAGATAAACTAATACGCCCTATTCACACAGAGAGAAAGTGAATAACAAATAAAATTTCCACTGTAACACCTGCATAAAGGCTGATGAGTGAATCCTCATTCGTGGATTGTTTGGTTTGGTTTGGTTTCCATAGGATTGAGGTGAATAAATTTCGTATATCAACAAAATGGAACCATACACCATCCCTCACATCTCACCTACTGACGGGTTTGTTGCTATATTTATTCTTGGTTGCTTGGTTGCCACTAAAGATAAGCTTTTGTCATCACAATCAGTCAGTATACACATGGGCTCAGTAACTGGAAAAATCAAATTACCAGTCAGCCTCCGAGTTGCTGCGACATTCCTGTGCGCATCACCTGATGCAGACAGAGTGGCATTGTCGCATTTGAATAAGAGGGGAACGTATTTTCAACCTGAATTGTTGAAAGCAAATCGTTTTGCAACGGCAAATGATGCATTTGCACGGAATGGATTATTTAACGTGACTCCAATTTAGTAATGTGCACTCGTTATTTCATTTCCGCTTGTTGGTGTATCATTTAAATGCACAATGTCAATGTGGCCGTCAGATGTTCGATTTCAATATATCGTTCTGAGCCTAGCTCAAAATTGAAAGAGGTGTAACCCAGAATGCACATGGTGTTCAATCTAACACAGAATAAACGATCTTGAAAGTAATGACCAAACCAATGAACAAGTTCCTGTGACAATCAATCATCTTCTAGTCCATTGTCACTTTTTACATTGCCCCAGAGCGCAGTTCAGTACCACCATCGAAGAGTGGAGATTCGACTAATTTTGTCAAACATTATTTAACAAAATGCTACTTCTTTCAGACGACAGCGAATTACTGACTGAGGGGCGGCGTACATAATCGGGCAAAAAATAACTGCGCACTTTTGGAAAAGTTTGTTTCCCTGGTTATCAGCGACGAGAGCGAAATTCCATAACTGCTAATTGTACATCTCTGTTTAATTTGGCCAAACAGCCGCTACTACTACTGCTAATACTGGTGAGTCGTTTCTTGGTGACAATGCTTTCATACACCTGTTTAGTCGGCATACAGAGAACGACAATCAAAACTGAAACGTTGCACATAATCCTTATGCAAATCATTGATTAGTTTCCCGTGAGCACATTGATTTCGCTCTATCTAGACAGTCTTTTTTTAAGTGTAAAAAGCAGTCTGATATAATTATTGATGGTCTGCAAAGTTTCAGAAATCTTAAGCGTTTAATGTTGCATGTGTCTCGCTACCATGGTATCCAGATGTCTCAGAGTTTTAACTGCTTTCACGGTCATATCGCAATATTTAATTAGTCATGACATACCGAATGAATTGTACGTGAAACTTCACTTGCTTACCAACCCTGCCAAAAATAATAGTCAGCAACCAGCAGGTAGCAGGACGATAAACGAATCGTTGTCAAATTTCGCGCGAATCTCTCAAACGAAACAAACAATTCTCCTTCAAAAGCCGATCATACTGAAGATAAAACACAACAGTGAAGCACCATCCACGGCTGTGGTAGCAGTTGCGTATTTTGTGCTCTCGTACGCTTAGTCACTTTTCTCTTCCGGTGGCATCTTTTAGTTTCAGCTACTGATGGCGGAAAGTAGTCAAGTTGTTTCTAGTTTACCTTTATAGTCGTTTCACTCATTTTTAATAAATTGAATAAGAAGCTCATGAACGTGAGTGCAACGGGCACGCATAAACATCAGCTTCTTCGGCAGATGCGTCTGAACGGTTTTTGTGCCGCATGTTAAACGCTTGGTGTTTATAGCTGGACATTGACAATAGAGGTATCTCTGTCAAAACCTCCATGCGGTTTTGGTAAACTTTGCTTTCCTGGTTATCAGTGAAGACAGAGAAATTTCATAACTACAGACTGTAAATACGTGTTTAATCATGTCAAACAGCCGAGACTACTAGTGCTACTACTGGTGAGTCGTTTCTTGTCCAAAATATTTTCCATTAACCTTTCTCTTCTAAAAAGAGCGATAAACAGAGTAGGTGAACTAAAGTGAAAGCTTGCTTGATTTGTTGCACAAGAGCACATCTCATCTAGATTGACGTTCTTTCACGTGTATAAAACAACTTGAATGCGTATATCATTACCGGTTGTCTTCGAGGTTTTAGAAATTTCAAGCGTTGAATTTTGCTTGCGTCTCGCGACTACGGCTATTGAGATGTCTAGAAGTTTAAATAACTTTCAGAGCACTACCGCAATTTGAATTTAGCCTTGACATAGTGACTGAGTTGAACCTAAAATTTCACTGGCATGATAACCAAGCTAAAATGATACTATTAGGAACCAGCTGGCAGCAGTACAAAAAAGAAACGTAACCAAATTTTGCGCGAGTTTCTTCAGCATAAACAGAGTCTGCTTTTCAAAAGCGGAGTGTGTTGAAAACGAAACACAACAAAAAAGCGCTATTTACGTCTGTGCTAGCAGTTGCGTATTTTATATTTCCGTACGCTTAGTAACCTATCTATGCCGTTGGCATCTTTTAGCTTCAACTACTGGTGGCGGGAAGTAGTAAAGTTCTACCGAGTTTATATTCAGATCTCTTTTATTTTCAATGTATTGCATGAGCAGCTCATGAACGTGAGTACAACGAGCACGTCTAAATACCAGTTTCTTCGACAGATGCATCTGAATGGTTTTTCTCCGCATATTGAACGTACGGCGCTCATGGCTGGACATTGTCACCGGAGATGTCTCCGTCAAAACCTCCTTTGTAACGACGAATTTCTCCACAAACGCTGAAGCACGACAACAGTTATTTACCAAACTTGACAGGTCAGCTGCAGACAGTTCACAGTTATCTGTGCAGGTGTTATTAGAGCTTGTGAGATTAAGGTTTCAACATGGGCGCACTTAGTAAGCAAAAATCGCTATTCCCTCCATATTGGGGGTCGTCTGTGCATGAGCGAGAAATTTCCGCGGGTAAAATTTGTTGCGGAGTGAACAACCAGCACAATTATTTCATTGGTTGAATTTTAACGTGTGACATGTCTTAATATAGCCCTTATTTTTGTTGACTCACTGGAAGCCTACTGGCTGTCAATATAAGAGGCTTATTTGCCAGTCATGTCACGTCGTCTGCGTTCTGATCGCGTCATTCTTTAACTCTTAGCCTTCCTTTTTTGAAAGGTTTCTTGACCTGAACCTAGCGAGGTAACCAATGGAAAATTATCCAACTTTTGTTCAGTTTACCGGCGCGACCAGCGTTTCAGTGGAGTAAATGAGAGCTATTTAGATACCCAAATAGTCTTATCAACCCGAATGCGAGTGAATAAATTCGTTCACGTATTGAGAAATTTTATCACCTCGCTTTGCATTATAGGGGTGGCCGCCCAGCAATCACTGCTGTGTGCAATCACGGTTGCGGGGATGCTGATCACCTTTGTCAGGTAAATTCATTTTATATGGGTATTGTGCAAAGCTGTTTGAAGACCAAACGGCATTATTATGGTGCGCGATTTAGGAAAACGTGTAGCTGATTATCCTCCTGAACCACCAGAAATCTGTTTGGCAACTGGAACTCAGTTGCAGCATCTTGTGAAAATCGCGCAAACATTACGTTCGAATTTATTGGAGTGTATTTTCGCTGGAAGGAAATAATGTTCAGCTGTTTGGATTTCACGGCGATCAATGCAGGCCATCGTCGAACTACCATTCCTCTCAGCCAATTTTCTCAAAAACGTTTTGCATATAGTTGTTGATAGTCAGTGTTGCTTTTGTTTCAGTATTTGAGCTGGAGATGACTTATTAGGATTCCTCGTGGAACAGTATGTTAACATGCCAAGTCTTTCAAGTTGATATATTTTGTTAATTTGATAGGAAACATGTTGCTCTTGAGCCACACATTAAAGGTTCAATCATACTTCCTTTCGTATCTTTCCCAGGACCTCATGGTTTTTCATTGACGGCTAACTCAAAAAAACATGAAAATTTGGGCGAACTGGTTCTAGACGATTCGCCGTTTCAACAGTATGAACTACTATCCCTTGCCTGCATGAAAATTTGTCAAAAATTGTCACACCATTTATGTCAACCGATAATTTTTTACTGAAAAAAAAATCATTCCATGTACAATGTCCTCAGTCTCGAAGGTTGTCATTTTCATCAAAATTTTATTCGGTGCTTGTATTATTTAAGGTCACCATCTAAGGCTTGTTTTTTTACCAAACTTGGAAAAATGCATCAGCTCCAAATGTGGCCTGA